AAATATTTTATACAAAACACGACATAAAACACGCAAAACAGAGTTGAATTGTAATGTTTTGGTTAATTAAATATAACTATAAAACTATACTATAAAATAAACTCATTATTTATGCTTTTTATATGACTTTTAATACGCAAACACTATGTTATGATATTATACGGTAATCGTTAAGCAAATTCGCTAAAGCCTAGTATTATTTTAATTCATGCAAATGATATGATTACTGGTCTCTTGTATTGTTTATGCACTCAATTATTATTAGCCCGGCTTTTGAGAGAGAGAGAGAGAGAGAGAGAGAGAGAGAGAGAGTCGGTTATATGTCACTATTTGATATAATACAAATCGCATATCATTTGTATTACAATCGCATGTATTTTATGCAAATATACATAATGTATGCCATATTATTGTGATTACAACAGAGAAATCGCAAAATAAAATAAAAACAAATTTTATGAAATAATGTTGTTTTTGTGAATTTTAACTCAAAATTTTCCGTACATTCAAAGCAAAATGGATTTAACAAATATTATGTGTTAACAAATATAATTTAATTTTTGGGCAATTTATTATTATTTATATAAACCCTAAAATGATATAGATAACTTTGTATATAAATCCGGTTTCAATATAGAATTTATTGCAGTATTACTGTATTTTAAGTTATGTAATTTAAAATTATAATTGAATTCAATTTACAATTTATCAAAAATGAAATTATCAAAAATTCCTTAAAGAATATCCAAACAGAATATTCTTTATATGCAATAATAAATATCAATTTATGTTGTATTTAATAAAATTATTCTTAATATTTGCGCAAAATATTGTTATTAATATTAGAGTCAAAATATTAGTTAAGATTCATTAATTATAATAAAGTAGACACAATAAATACCTGTAAAACGTAATTTAATTATTCAAACTAGCTTAATTGAATTAAAACTTGCATCATTAAACAATAATTAAAACTTGCACCATTATATGATAATTTGCATATAGGTTTCGCCAGGGATTCAAAAACGCGTTTTGTTGCGCGTGTTTGCGGGCACTGGAAGAGGAGCGCAGGTTTGGTGATAATGGGCACCGATATCAAGGGGCGCCCCGTTATAGCTGCGCATCCGAGGCCTGTCCCTCGGATATGAGGGTGCGATACAACGGGAACGGCAACATCAGTCTCCATACGGTCACTGAGACTCTGCACACAAACAGTGCCACATCCGGGCCCTCAAGCCTTCAGCCAAAGTTCGCCTTCCGGACAGAAATGCTGTGATTTTTGTAGTGATTGCTTACCAACCGATGTCGCGATGGCCGGGAATTAATATAAACAAGGTCTTTTTAGACACATTTTATTATAGTGGTTTTATTATTGTTATGAATATAGTATACTATATATTGATATTACATAATATATATATAAATGAATGTTTTGTTTTTTCAATTAATACAAATGTTTGCTATAATTAGTAATTATATATAAATATATTGTATATGAAAAAATAGTTATTATTTATATTCATATAATTATATTTAAATTCAGTTTTTTTGTTAGTTTTGTGTTTAGTTTCATCATTCATTCACTCATCCATTCATTAATGAATATTTTTATTGAAATATGAAAATATCGATCAATTATTGTTTCCATAAATATATTTAAACAAATAATTAATTTAAATTTTGTATAAAAATACACACCAGAAAAATCTCAACCAAATCGTACTGTTTTAATGATTGCTCAGTGGTTTTCAATGTATAAGTTTATTGTCACAATTTATTATAATAAAAAAATCATCATAATAATGCATTTTTATAAATGCAAATTTATATATGCTTTTAAATCTAATTTTAGTTTTATATATCATGGATATAATGATAAATTTTTGCCTGTTTTTAACTATTTTGTTGTTTTATGATTATTAATGTTTTTCTATCATATAATATATAATATTATTTCAAAGGGATGTACGAGAAAGCAATCGATGAAAGAAAATACAGAATATTTTATATATATATATAAAAGTTATACAAAAGTGTAATAAAAAGTTTGGATGTTTTTCACAAACACATGACAACAACAATGAGAAAAAGATTCATATTTTATATGATTTTATGTATTCATTATTATAACTGTAATTACAAAAGAAAGACAAAGAGATTGTTGAAAGAAATAAATTTAAATAATAATTCACAAAAAATATACAAAAACAAAACCATTGAATAATTATTATTCTCAATCTCAAGACACGTACGAAAGTCTTGTGAAATATTTTTGCTAAACAAATATTTGCCTCTCATTGTCATCGACGGTGGGCTCTGTTGTCGGATCGCAACTCTGATCATCGCTACTAAAATAGCCGTCAATTTGATCGCGCGTTTGTTGTTGACTACATTTGGGTATATCGTAATCGTATTCGCATTCGGGCACCGGTTTAAGTACAGTACGTTTGCCGGACGTACCCTTTTTGGTCAACCGTAATGAGTTGATGGGCACCGGTATACCCGACGGCACCAAATCGTAGTCGATTAGCGGATCTCGTTTACCAATTAGTGATGAGGGGCTGCCGGCGCCGCCCAACCCGGCGCTCATATTTTCATATTCATGGCTATCGTTAGCACAACTGACGACAGTATCTCTTAAGCGATTATTTTTGATGCGATAACAAGTCTTTGTCGCCCTTTTCGCGGACACTTTGACGCCGTTTAGACACTTGTCTAACAAAATATAAATAAAATAATTGATCAATAAGTGAGACAACAGACAAACTATAGACAAAACTATACGTCAATAAAGAGAGAAAGAAGAAGAAGAAAAGGGGAAGCAAAACAACTTTAAGCACAAGAATTACCGTTGCGTTCATTAGATAAGTCTTTTTCATTGGCAACAAATTGGGTCGCATTGTGTGTCTCATCGCTCACTAACTTATTATCTAATTGTTTGCCGTTTTTGCTGTCGTTGTTATTCTTATTGTTATTGTAGTGGTAGTCGTCGTCGTCGTTGTCTGCGCTCTTGTTGTCCACCGATTCAAAGACATAATACTCGCTGTGATTAGAGCTGTTGTTAATATAATTATCGTTATTATTGCTGCTATTCTTGATGTTTACTTTCGACGGCTCGACAATCGATCGCTGATTAAATTCTTGCGCTTTATTTGTTTCGTTAATTAGTGCCACAGTTAACGGCCGGGGAGGCGGGGCTGGAGGCCTACTACCACTGCCACCACCGCCACTACCAACACTTCCATCACTACTTTTACTATTAATTGCATTATTATTATTAATATTTCGTGAATCGGTCGCCGATTGCTGTCGTTTTCCATTCGCTTTCAGTCGCGACTCATTATTTTGTTTGTCAATTAAGGCAATGGTTTTCGCTTTAAGTCTCTTATAGTAATTATTTTTATAATTTTGACGATTAAGTCGATTAATATTGCCGTTACTATGCGTTCGTTCCGACCCTTTGCTCCAAACGCTAACCGCGTTATTACCTGCGCTGATGGCCTGGTGTTCAATGGTATCGTGCGATGAGCTACCGGTGCTTATAGTGCTAATACAACTCTCCCTATTGCTCGATAGAGAACCTGTAAATCGTGTGTTAAATATATTATATCTGAGATAAGAAGTGAGAAAAGTGTGACAGAAAAAAATATAGTTATAAAGGGATGTATAACAAAATTCTTATGCAAACATTTCATATGGAATTCATTAATATTAAGTTAATTCCTATGCTATCCAAGAATATTCTGTTGGAAACATGTTTTCACATAAACTCTTTCGCTAATCATAAATGACTGAATTTGTAATAATTCTGTGCAAAGAATATGCATTTTGCCAGAATATTCTTGCCTCTCTCCTCTCACACACACTTCACTCAAATATACAGTACATATTAGTACTGAATAGTATGGAATATATTATATATACATATTTTATGACACTTTATATGTAATCTATCAATCAATTGGTAATATTATAGTAAAAATTCTCATCAAAAATAAGTAAATTTCAAATTCATACTGAAGTCTGACATATATTATATGCAAATAAATTCCATATAAAATATAAATTAGATTTAAATTTTTCGCACAATATTTTCAATTCATGTCAAAAGAAATATGAAATTCACGAAAAATATATCGCATAGTAATAGTTATGAAAGAATTTGATTTGATTTTTAGCAAATATATATAAGAATATACAGTATTATATGAGACACAACTTACTTGTACTCAAAGAATCGGCACAAAAGTGTTGATTCAGTGATAATAATTGGAGCCTTTCGTGAAGTGTTTGCTATTGAAAAATAAAATACGATAAAAATTGTTAGACTTTTCATTAATTATTAAGTGCTTTCATATAAATATTAAAAATGGTTACTTAAAAATTAATATACATGTATACACTGTACACAGAATACAGAATATATTCTAGTATAACATATGTACTGTATATGAAAATAAAAGAATATTCTTAAAATACCTTTAAGTTATTGTCATTAAGTTTGTGATTGAGTTTAGAGTTGAGATAATATCGCAAATCATTGAAATTCAGCAAATGTTTGTTGGCCTCAAAGTCCTGTTGTTTGCGACCGATTTCGCAGAGATTGCGGATCTGTTGTAACGATTCGGTCAACTCTTGGGAGACATTCGCCCGCAAAACGTTGCAATACTTTTGCCTCCAGTCGTCAAACAGGGCCTCAAACTCGACGAAAGAGACGCCACTTTTGAAGGCAGCGATTATATTCAATAACTCCTTTTGACTCTCATTCAGATCGCATGAATCGGTTCCCATTGTCTTCAGGCCATTGTCTGTCTCAGTGTCTGTATTGTCATCCGTCACAGACATCTCATTCGTGGCGTCCGTATTGTTAACCTTTTTAACCAATGGTTGACTATTGAGTGCATTGATTGTTGTCTTATTATTAATGGCATTTAAATCGCCGACGGATTCGTCTAACAATGCCTGCGCTGACGGCAACTCGTTATTCATAATCTCCGGTCGTTTGTCACCATTTGTCTCCGCAAACAACTGGTCGCCGGCATTGCTCTGGCCGTCAGTGGCCAACAGTTTGTCGCCGTTTTGTTTCAAATTCAATAAATCAGAGTATAGTCTGAGGCCATAGAGTTGGTGATGGGCTGATAGGGCGGCCGCACCGGCGGCCGCGGGAGCCGTTGAATATCTAATGGCATTACCGGCGGTGACCGACAGTTTCAAACTGGCCTTTTGCTGATCAGTGAGTTCGCCGACAGTCACCGACAGCGCGTCCATCGGCGTCGACGGGTCCACCGGTCGGCGCCAATCGTACAAATGGTTAGCCTTATGTGTCCGACACAGGCGTTCAAAGTCGCGCAATAGTGCGGCGATATCGGTGTGGTTGAGGTGATGGGCGATCTGCTCGGGTGTCAAGTTGCTTGAATTGCGTGTACGACAGGCCTTCAGCGCCATCGGGCAGTGCAGTAGTCGCGACGTGAGCTCCCGGAGCCCGTAGGCCGACGCAAAGTGCAACAGTGTTGGCAAATAGCACTCACCTATTATCGGGACAGCGATTATATAAATAGTTGTTTTTTGTGGAAATTGTTTATAAGATTTAATTATTGGGAAAACATATGCGACAAGAGTTTGTTGTGAAGGGGAGGAGGACTGGGAGTAGGGATAGAGAGACAAATGTTAATTCACTTTATTGCTCGAGTAGTTAATGGGAGACTAGAGTGGAGTAGTATTAGGGCCTCATCTGGCAAACAGCACATGGAGTGTAGGGAACGGGTCATCGGAGAGACCTTCAAATTGTGTGATCACTAGTTAAGTAGTGTTAGTATTCACTACTAATTTATTTCTTCCAGTTATTGACTGTCAAAGAGAAAGATTGAGAGAGAGAGAGAGAGAGAGAGAGAGAGAGAGAGAGACTCTGGAAAATCAATACAAAGATAAATTTCAGCAAAAAAAACTGTAAACGATTTTAGGCCTCGCGTTGTCGCGAGTCTTAGGGTATTAACGCTTCAATGGATTAGTTGTCTGGGGTTTTGAAAACTCACTTTTCTGACGGTCGTAAACGTCCGGTTCGTCTGCGGCGGCGAAAACAGAGCCGAAATACGGCAACCGTTGGTCAAAACGATTGGCCAACTCTTCGTCAAATTGGCTGAGCGTCGGAAAGCCGAGCGTTTGGCTCATGAACTCGAAGGGAGAGTTGACGGACGACAACAGGCCGTGGAGTTCACTCATTTGGGTCTCGCATTTGAGGGGTCGGGTGCCCATGAAGTGTTTGGTGTCGCATATCAACGATATGTTCATCACTTTGGCCACTCTCAGCATGTTTTCTATACATACAAAATGGTAATTAACATTAATATAACATTTATACAAACATTTTTGTATCTCATTTTCTCGTCAAACATTTTGTTTGACAGATAATTGTTTGCGAAATATTTCCCATTATTTCTCAATATATATGATAATAATATGAATGGTATTTATAATGTAATAAATATATACACTGTATATGTGTTGATAATTACCCGGTAGAATGAAGTATAATGTGTACGCATTCTTCCACTTCACAGACACCTGATTATCACCGCATCCGTCGACCAGTATATCAATCTGTTGCTTATCGCTGACCGGACTGTCCAGTAGTATAAACACCTTTCCATTTGCCTAAACATAACAAAAAATATACAATACATAAACCAAATAACAATCAAATAATGAACAGCTAATAGAAGGGGTGTTAGAGAGAAGATGGGGGCAGACAATTGGTAGCAAAAACACAGACCTCTTTCACTTTGCGTGGAGTCAACTTAAAGTGTGGTTTAGCGGCGGACTGTTCGGCCGCCTGTTGTACCACATGTTGAACCGCTTGAATCACACTAACGACAAACTCCTTGTCCTGATCCCTGGCCACCAGACACTGCCACTGATCAAAAGTGACCAGGGCAGCTCGATGGAAACTCGACACATCCGTCTCCTGTACGCCACAGAGCATACAA